TAAATCATAATATGTGGAATAAAGCTACATTGTGAGATGCAATGGGAAGATTGCAAGGTGAGGGGGGATAAAAAGGTGACTGTAATGATATGTCTTCATCAATGATATACAACCGAGCTTTCAAGTAGTGGTGATATTTCCAGTGGCTGAGTGGTTTTTATTGTGCCTGTAGGTTATTAAAAAACCTAAGTCTTTGTGGATAAATGTAACTCTATCTTCACTGTCATTACTCAAGGATAGGAAAGGACCGTGTCCTCAGGAAAGGGCAGATCTTCCCTTTCACTAGTAACCACCTTATTAGGATTCCATTTTGTCACCATGCTTCCTTCTCTTCTCTCATGGTCAATCTGTCTTTGGGTCCTTCTGTTTTCTGCTACACACCTAGGAACCCATGTTCATATCAATCTTTCCTTTACAGATGCTACACATAGTTTCTGAGGTAGAAATTTGGGGGCTTTCTGAAAAGCTTTCCAATAACTGGTTTCATTTGCTCTGCCTTTACACTAAGCCAATGGCCTACCAACTTCACTGACAGTGAAGTTCATATTGGATCGGCTCTTCCTGCTACAAAGTGACTACAGTTTAATACTAAATTTCCCTCTTGTTCAAGCATTCTAAAACATCTCAACATGCACACTTTCTTCTCCAATCCTTCTGTACATTCCTCTCATTTGATCTTCTGGACTCTCTAAAATTTTCCTCTGTCATTTATGCATACACAAACATAATTAGCACACTTTCTTTCATATCCAATTTAATATGGTAAATATTGAGGTTTTCTCTGTATCCGTTAATGAGAAATCAATCTCTGAGCTTATCTTCCAGTTGAGCCTTGAGAGGACTACATCCCTGGCCCACATTTTGAATATAGAGATCTATGAGAGCTTCTGAAGTATTTAAGCAAATTACCAAGTCACCAGCTAAATATGTAAAAATAAACAGTTGTCTAATATAAAAATCTATATTGCTGGACAATAAGTTTAAAACCTGGATAGTCATTCAAAGCAGCAAAAACCAGACATCTCCAATGCATAAAATTGCAAATCCCAAACCAGGTGTATAGAAAAAATAGAAAGTTCTTCTTAAAGACATGAATTTTAACTGATAAAATCAGGTTCTTGGAATTGGAGACCTAATTCTCTCTAAATTACATGGTTATGTCAATGGTTTTGTAGATAAAAAAGTCATGTTGCTTTCTCTGGTTGGAAAAAAATGTGTCTGAATTTTATGATGAGATACGTAACCTAAAAGTCAGAAGAGAGGAGTAGAGGTCCGCTTCTTCCTGAGAAGAGGAAGGATCTAGACCCTGCCCCCACCCCCCTGCAACCTCAGTACGTTTACTTTTTTCCTTTTTCTCTTCCATTAATAATCACACGTCCTTAGAGATTGGGAGAACATGGACCAATTTGGATAATTACGTGCCATGCCCTTTGAGCCCTCAAGGCCAAGCCACTGTAAACAGTCAGCCTGTGCTTTCCAGCTCTTTAGTGACCAGTTCCAGTTAAGAGGGCTCCAAAAGGGGTCTCCTCCTCCCAGAGTTGTTTGCTCCAGGAGACCCATTCTTGCATCTGTCTTCCTGCCAGTCCTGGAAACAAAGCCTCTGTCCTCATGCAGCTCCAGGTAGGGGAGTGGCAGTGAGATCTGCATTCCTCAGTCCTGCTCCAGGAGAGATACAGTACAGCTCAGGGGCAGTAAGTGCAGTGGGAGAGACGGAATGCAGACGGACTGGAAGAGCACTGTTTTCTCCTCATCTAGACAACCAGGACAGTTGGGATACCCAGAAGGGGGGTGGGGTGGGGGGACCAAATGGAAAGATTCAGCTCACAGCCCAATAAAGACCTAATGTTATTGGGTTTTGTGGGGATCCTAGAAATTTTATTTAGATTTCTATTTTTGTCCCATGTTAGTTCTATCTCTCATAGGTTATTCCCCATCAGAGCAGTAAATTGGTGCTTCTTAACTGCCAGTAAGTCCTGCCAATGATCATGAAGGTGATGATGATGGAAATGATGACAGTAACCAGAATGTTACAAACTTATACTTGGGACTTGGGACTCCCAGTGCCGGGCACTGAGCTAAGTTTTCTATGTAGCTTGCTACCTCTTATCTGCATTGCCAGCCTTGAAAGGCAGCCACACACATTATCCTCATTTCAGAGTTAAGAATAGGAGCCCAGCATTTTTTTTTTTCTCTGCTGAAGTGCAAGGAAACAGAGCAAACAATTTCAGTGCATGGACCTTAGAGACCCACCATTGAATGCTGAATCTTATCTGCTCTACTTTTTTATCTGTATGCCACTGGGCAAGTTCTTATTGTCTTTGATCTGGTTTATACAACTGTACTGAGCCCTGTACTTGTGACTAAATATGTGGTGGACGCACACAGTAAGGGCAAGGTAAAATTTAGACATTATTAATATTGTTGCTATTGTTACTGTCATTCCAAGACTAAGTGCCATCTAGCCAACTAAAATATCCTGTGATTGAAAGTTTTGGTTTTTCCTAGATCCTGAGAGAACCTTTTTTTTTTTTTGTCCTTATGCAGATAGATACTGAGTATTTGGAGGGAAACAGATGAATCACATTCATTTCCGATTTCCCAGAGACGATACTTTGCATGGCACAGAGCACGTGACAAGGACAACAGTCATCTCTGTTCAATATTGAATAGACCCTTCCCTGGTTCTCATGGCTTCAGTGCTCTCTCTGGGTGCCTCTCTTCCTTCCAGGGCAAACCTCTGTTTGGTGTCACACATGTCTTGAAATGGATGCTGTTCTCCCTATTTCTAGGTGATACCTAGAGGGATTCCAGCACAGAGAGGTTGAGACATTGCAAATACTCCACATTTAGTACGTGACAGATGTGAGACTGAAAGGCCTGATTCCCATCCCAAGGCTCTGTGCACTCAACTGCTTTTGTCCCAGATGAGCAAACAGAACAGGGCCACCAATTCCCTCGGTTGAGATTTTGTAAGCTCATCTGTGAATTAGGGAAATGGGCCAAGTGGTTTACGAGGGCCTTTACTGCATGAATATTATACATCATAGAAGTTTCTATGAAGAGTAATGCATTTTGCCGCTTGTTTTGGAAATCTGTGATATAGAAATATCACTCCTTATACAAAACAGTAATTTTCATGTGGATCAATCATGAAAGACCATTGCAGCACAGACTTTAGGGCTGTTTCCAATTCTGTGCCTTGACAATAAAAGCATGAAGCTGCTTTTGTCTATTAGGAAAATAAATGTAGGGGCGCCTGGGTGGCTTAGTCGGTTGGGCGTCCGACTTTTGCTTAGGTCATGATCTCACGGTTCGTGGGTTCGAGCCCCGCGTCGGGCTCTATGCTGACTGCCAGCTCAGAGCCTGGAGCCTGTTTCAGTCTGTGACTCCCTCTGTCTCTGACCCTCCCCTGCTCACGCTGTCTCTCTCTCTCTCCTAGAAACAAATAAAACATTTAAAAAAAAAAAAAGGAAAATAAATGTAGATAATTAATAGTAAAACTGTACATGTATTGATTTTTATAATTTTATACTACTTATGCCTAAATATTATAGAAATTCTTGCTTGTATAAAATGGAAGTGGGCACAAGAATTTCATTACGAATATTGTAATAAGAAATGGAAAAAATAACACTCATACGTCAGGTAATACTATGCATCATTCAAGGTGCTTGAAATAGATGTGCGTACTTCACAGAGACACTTCAAATGCATTATTGTGGTAAATGAGAACTAAGGAAACAATATGGGTATTATTATAGTATTAAGTAAGTTTTTAAGAAAACTGTTTATAAATACATCAATAGGAATATACGGAAACACTGAAAGGAAAATATACCTGCCACATTCTTGACAGTGTTTGCGTTTGGGCAGCTGAAGTGCAGAGGGAAATGGGATCATGCAGGGACAGCAAGAAAACTCAACTTTTCCTAGTAACAAATATGAGTTCTTTTTTTGTTTGTTTTTTTAAATTTTTTGAATGTTTAACAGATAGAGACAGAGCATGAGCAGGGGAGGGGCAGAGAGGGAGACACAGAATTAGAAGTAGGGTCCAGGCTCTGAGCTGTCAGCACAGAGCCTGATGCAGGACTTGAATCCATGAACTGTGAAATTATAACCTGAGCTGAAGTCAGACACTTAACCAACTGAGCCACCCAGGGACCCCAGCAAATGTGAGTTCTCAAGCAAGTATAACTAAATATTTCTCTTTTTTTAAAGTTTATTTTGAGAGAGACAGTGCAAGCAGGAGGGGCAGAGAGAAAGGGAGAATCCCATGCAGTCTCCACACTGTCAGTACAGAGCCTGACATGGGCTTGAACCCACAAACTGTGAGATTATGACCTGAACTGAAATCAACAGTCAGACACTTAACCACCTGAGCCACGCAGGAGCCCATAAAAAATTTTTTTTGTGGTATAGATGTATATTTATTTTATTTAATTATTTTATTTTACAAATAGTTTATTGTCAAGTTGGTTTCCATATAACACCCAGTGCTCATCCCCACAAGTGTCCTCTTCCGTGCCCATCACCCCCCTCCCTCCCACCCCCATCAGTCCTCAGTTTGTTCTCAGCATTCAAGAGTCTCTCATGGTTTGCCTCTCTCCCTTTCCCCCACCATTTCCCCCCTTCTTCTCCCCCATGGTCCTCTGTTAAGTTCCTCCTAATCCTCCTATATGTGCAAACATATGATATTTGTCCTTCTCTGCCTGACTTATTTTGCTCAGCAAACACCTTCAAGGTCCATCCATGTTGCTACACAGCCCATAAATATTTCTATGTTTATATATTTGTATGCTTGTCTAACATTCTTTGGTTCAATGTCTTCATGGCGGGTATATGCAGAAAGAGGTAAATAGCCCAGAACACTAATAAAGAGTTCTAAGAGGAGTGTACAATTGAGAAATGTTGCAGAAGGTAACAGGAGGTAGGATCCTCAAGTGTGAATCCTTTACTTGTAAATCGCTTGAATCAAAATATGCACACTTAGCTGGGTGTCTCTACACTTGTTTTGTTTATTCAATACTTTTTTTTTTTTTGAGAGGTGTCCCATCTTCATGGAACCACAGAATCTAACTGGTGTGTCAGAATTCTTCCTCATGGGACTCTCAGATGACCCAGAACTACAGCCCCTTCTCTTTGGGCTGTTCCTGTCCATGTACCTGGTCACTGTGCTCGGGAATCTGCTCATCATCCTGGCTGTCGGCTCTGACCCTCACCTCCACACACCCATGTACTTCTTCCTCTCCAACCTGTCCTTGGCTGACATTGGTTTCACCTCGACTACCATCCCCAAGATGCTGGTGAACATACAAACACACAGCAAATCAATCACTTATGCAGGCTGCCTAACTCAGGTGTCCTTTTTTTTCCTATTTGGATGTTTGGACAGTCTACTCCTGGCTGTGATGGCATATGACCGGTTTGTGGCCATTTGTCACCCCCTGCACTACCTAGTCATCATGAACCCATGCCTCTGTGGCTTTTTGGTCTTCGTGTCATTTTTCAGCAGCCTTCTGGACTCTCAGATTCACTGTTTGATGGTGTCACAACTTACTTTCTGCACAAATGTGGAAATTCATCATTTCTTTTGTGATGCACCTCAACTTCTCCACCTTACCTGTTCTGATACCTCCATCGACACCATACTAATTTATTTCATAGGGGCCATTTTTGGCGGCATTCCACTCTCAGGGATCCTTTGCTCTTATACTCGAATGTTTCCTCCATTTTGAGAGTCCCATCGACAGGTGGGAAGTACAAAGCCTTTTCTACCTGTGGCTCTCACCTGTCAGTTGTTTGCTTGTTTTATGGAACAGCTCTTGGGGTGTACCTCAGTTCATCTGTCTCCCTGTCCCCCAGGAAGAGTGCAGTGGCCTCGGTGATGTACACTGTGGTCACCCCAATGCTGAACCCCTTCATCTACAGCCTGAGAAACAAGGACATCAAGAAGGCACTGTGGAGGATTATCAGCAGGACAGACTAATCTCAGCGTCTGTCTTCTCCTTTGTGGTTCATAGAACTGGAAAATACAGCAAACTGAAACATGCACAACAAGACATTCTGAATGTGCAGTCACATGGTGTAGGTATCTATATGGATCTCTGTTTTTTACTTACACAGTTTTTCCTCTTAGCATAGCTCTAATGGAATTGGGAGATTATTTTGGGCTCCCCGTTTAAATCATAGCTCCTGCAGGATTATGCATATACCTCTATATCCCTCTCACTTTCCTTTTGCATTTTCCAGGACTCTTGGTTATGAGCAGTCTTGTTTCTATCATTGCAAAATAATCATAACTCTCTCTTGTTGTTGATTGTTTCTATACTTTTCCTATGATTTCTCCCCCCAACCCTACCTGCCAATTTAATGGGAGGATCTAAACCCCACCTTAAGGACCAAGACATCTAATACATTTTGGTGCCTTAATGATCTTGGTCAGTTTTTTGAGCGAGTAAGGTGACAATTTAATTTCCTTTAGAAATTGAAATGGGACACCATTAATATTGAGTTTGCATAAACAGTTATCAAGTTTCCTGGGACTTCACTAAGAAAATTGGGATATATGGTTCCTAAGGAGTAAATGGGAGAGGAGCTACCAGAGCAGAGGTGGTTCCTACTTTTCCTGATAATTCTCCTTCCCATTCTATCAGATTTCTCCCAAATTGTATTATATCACCAGACACAAAGGGACAAATATTGTATACTTCCAGTTATGTAAGGTGCATAAAGTGGTTGAATTCATAGAGACAGAAAGTAGAATGGTGGGAGCTACAGTCTGGGGAAGGGAGAGGGGGAGTTAGTGTGTTTTTTTAAATGTTTTATTTATTTCTGAGAGAGAGAGAGACAGACAGACAGACAGGGTGAGCAAGGGAGGGTCAGAGAGAGAGAGAGATATACAGAATCCAAAACAGGCTCCAGGCTCTGAGCTGGCTGTCAGCACAGAGCCTGATGCGGGGCTTGAACCCATGAACCATGAGATCATGACCTGAGCCAAAGTCAGACACTTAACCGACCTAGCCACCCAGGTGCCCCGGGAGTTAGTGTTTAATGGGACAGAATTTCAGTTTGGGGAGATAGAAAAGTTCTAGAGATGGATGATGGTGATGACTGTACAACAGTGTGAAAGTACTTAATTCCACTGTACTGGACACTTAAAAAAAAGATTTTATGGCAGGAATAAGAAATATGTTGCTTCAAATGTTGGGTGTTACTCAACCCTCAGCATCAACCTCTATAGAGATCTACCTCAGCAAGTTCATGCCTCCTTCTTGGGCAGCGCACATCCAATGACTATTTAGATGTAGGGGTGTAAACATTTGGTCTCTTTGACTTAATTCCAGGCAACTCTAAGAGATCATCTTAGTTCCAGAACTCCCTGCTGGTTTTGGGAGAGTTTTTAAATGTTTATTTCACTCTTGAGAGAGACAGAGACAGAGAAAGAATGTGAGCAGGGAGGGGCAGAGAGAGAGAGGGAGACACAGAACCTGAAGCATGCTCCAGCCTCTGAGCTGTCAACACAGAGCCCAATGCGGGGCTTAATCTCACAGACTGTGAGATCACGACCTGAGCCAAAGTCGGATGCTTAACTGACTAGGCCACCAAGGTGCCCCTGATTTTTGGAGATCTTTGATGGGCTTCAGCTTGGCTGACTTTTTCCAGCATCCTTCCTTGCTGCAAAGAATTTGCCAACCACAAGTTTGCCCTCACTTCCAGCACCAGCTGCAAGTTCAGGAGTCCCTAAGTCCACTCTCACATCAGACTAGTTGGATACAAATTTGGGAACTTTTTCACATTCGATAATTTGCTAGAATGATTCAAACTGAGAGGAGTACTTCAGATTCAATAATGCTCCAGAATGACTCACAGAACTCAAGAACCAGTGTGCTTATGATTGCAGTTTGTTTATAGCAAAGAGATACAAATTAGAGTTAGCCAAAGAAGGGCAAGATTTGGATGTTCCCATATGGGAAGCTTCTTGTTGTCTTCTTCCCTAGGAGTCCAGACCCATTACTGCTTCCTAGTGACAATATGTGTGACAATACTCAAAGACCACTGCCAATCAGTGAGCCAATCAGGTGGCTCACGTGAGTGCCAGTATCCAGAATTTTTATTGAGGCTTCATTATATAGACATGAATAGTTGAATTATGAAGTATCGAGTTAAACTCAATTTTCAGCCTCCCTCCCTACATTGGGCTGATATCTCTTTGCCCAATGCTCCAACCCTTTAATCACATGACTGGTCTTTTTGGCATGGCCAGTCCCCTTCCTAAGTCATTTCATTAGCATAAACTATCAGGTGTGGTTCTTGGGGGCTTCCACGAATAACCAATCACTCCTATCACTAGGAAATTTTGAAGTGTTTCAAGGTTACTTCCCAGGAGCTGGGACACAGGCCATTTCCCTTTAGGTGCGACCAAATTCTTTACTACACATATGCCTTCCACAGGTGTTGATTCCAGAAACACTGCTTGGTAGACATCCTGTGTGCTAATCATTGTCTCAGAGTCTGCTTCAGAAGGAAGTAAAGTGAGACAGCTTGTTAGTAATAAAATGTATTTGAGAACATTTTATTTTTTTAAGTTTATTTATTTATTTTGAGAGGGGGAAGGGGCATCGAGAGAGGGAGAGAGCGAGCAAATCCCAAGCAGGCTCTTTACTGTCAGCTTGGAGCCCAAGATAGGGCTGGACGCTGGGCTCACATGAACTCACATACTGTGAGACTGTGACCTGAGCCAAAATCAACTCAGTTGCTTAACTGCCTGAGAACCCAGGCACCCCTTAAAAAAATTTTTTTTGCATACACTAGTATGTTATTTTTATTGAGGCATAATTGACATACATTAGTTTCAGGTATACAATAATTCAGCATTTATATACACTATGAAATGATCACCACAATAAGTTTAGCAGTTCGAAGTAGTTGGAATGGCCAGCAATATTTTTTGAACTACAAACCCAACTCTAGGCTCAAGAATAGGAAAATTCAAGAGTAAGAGATGAAGAATGGGGGCATTCATTCATTCAGTGGTTCCCTGGGGGCAGCAGGGAGGTTCCCACTGAAAATCTTCACCACTCTGGAAACACAAATTCGGAGATGTTTGACAGAAAAGGAGTGCAGAGTTTGAGATAATAAAGTAACATACATGTCCCCATGTGTATTAGTTTCAATTAACTGATTAATTTTTACATTTACATCCAAGTTAGTCAGCATATCGTGCAACAGTGATTTGAGAAGTAGATTCCTTAATGCCCCTCTTACCCATTTAGCCCATCCCCCCTCCCACAACCCATCCAACAACCCTCTGTTCTCCACATTTAAGAGTCTCTTATGTTTTCTCTCCCCCACTGTTTTTATATTATTTTTGCTTCCCTTCCCTTATGTTCATCTGTTTTGTGTTTTAAAGTCCTCATATGAGTAAAGTCATATAATATTTGTCTTTCCCTGACTAATTTTACATAGTATAATACCCTCTAGATCCATCCACATAGTGGCATATGACAATATTTCTTTCTTTGTGACTGCCGAGTAACACCCCATTGTAATATATATACTACATCTTCTTCATCCACTCATGGATGAACATTTGGGCTCTTTCCGTACTTTGGCTATTGTAGATAGTACTGCTATAAACATTGGGGTTCACGTGCCCCTTCGAAACAGCACACTTGTATCCCTTGGATAAATACCTAGGAGTGCAATTGCTGGGTCACATGGTAGTTCTATTTTGATTTTTTGAGGAACCTCCATACTGTTTTCCAGAGTGGCTGCACCAGTTTGCATTCCCACCAGCAGTGCAGAAGAGATCCTCTCTCTCCATATCCGTGCCAGCATCTATTGTTGCCTGAGTTGTTGATGTTTGCCATTCTGACAGGTGTGAGGTGGTATCTCATTGTGTTTTTAATTTGTATTTCCCTCAGGGTGAGTGATATTGAGCATTTTTACATGTGTCTGTCAGCCACCTTGACGTCTTCTTTGGAAAAGTGTCTATTTATTTCTTTTGCCCATTTCTTCACTGGATTATTTGTTTTTCGGGTACTGAGTTCGATAAGTTCTTTATAAATTTTGGATACTAACCCTTTATCTGATATGTCACTTGCAAATATCTTCCCCCATTCTGCCAGTTGCTTTTAGTTTTGCTGATTGTTTCCTTTGCTGTGCAGAAATTTGTATCTTGATGAGGTCCCAATAGTTGATTTTTGCTTTTGTTTCTCTTGCCTCCTGAGACATGTTGAGTAAGAAGTTGCTGTAGCCAAGTTCAAAGAGGTTTTTGTCTGCTTTCTCCTCTAGTATTTTGGTGGCTTCCTGTCTTAACATTTAGGTCTTTCATCCATTTTGAGTTTATTTTTGTGTATGGTATAAGAAAGTGGTCCAAGTTCATTTTCTCTGCTTGTCTCTGTCCAGTTTTCCCAGTACTGGTTGCTGAGGAGATTGTCTTTCTTCCATTGGATATTCTTTCTTGCTTTGTCAAAGATTAGTTGGCCATATGTTTGTGGGTCCATTTCTGTTCCATTGATCTGAGTGTCTGTTTTTGTGCCAGTAATATACTGTCTTGATGATTACAGCTTTGTAATACAGCTTGAAGTCCAGAATTGTGATGACTCTGGCTTTGGTTTTCTTTTTCAAGATTGCTTTGGCTATTTTGGGTCTTTTCTGGCTCCATACAAATTTTAGGATTTTTTTTAGCTCTGTAAAAAATGCTCACCTTATTTTGATAGAGATTGTTGTATTACATTTTTAAAAAGTTTATTTTAAAACATTAAACCCTTCAATGTAATTAAAATATGCTTAAAAATGACAATTTTTTGGCTGCTGCTGCTATTGTAGTTCTCAAATTTCTGGAGTCAATCATCCAACCATAAACACTCATCAGGGCTCTGCAGATTCCTATGTTCATTGGATTTTGAAGGCCTCTACCATGGGGATGACCACAGTGTTTAACAATGAGGCTATTCCTGCCCTTCTCAGAAGAGGAGCTTTCTG